CCCTCTCTCTCTCTCTCTGTCTCTCTCTCTCTCTCTCTCTCTCTCTCTCTCTCTCTCTCTCTCTCTCTCTCTCTCTCTCTCTCTCTCTCTGCCCCTCTCTCTCTTTCTCTCTTACACTCTCCAATTGACATATATACGTCAAATTTATAAGTAGAGATTATATAAATTTATAAGCATGAACAAATAAAAGACGTGGTAAACTCTAATCTTCGGCACTTATATGACCTTATTGTGTTGCAAGTGCCGTAAAACTCTTTCTACAACTATTTTTTTTAAAAGGTGAGGCATGTCTTTTTGGTCTAGCTTTGCTGAAAGACTCCATCCGTCAGCGAAGGGTTATGTTTACCAGATTGTTTTCATCTCTCTCCCCGCAGCCACAGAGAAGTCCACAAAAAGTCGCAGCCCCAGCCGCAGCTCAGCCCAAAGTGTCAAGTGGCTTCAAAAACATCGCTCTAAAGTTGCCAGGTAGGAAGTGAAGAATTGCAGCGTCCTTTTTTATTTTTATTTGGTCTTCCTTTTTCCCTTGTTTTTCGTGTGACCATTTTCCTAATTGAACTGATGGTTTTCTGTAAACTACAATTCCTTTAATCATGAGTGTCTATGCATATGAAATACGTTGGGGGGGGGGGTGGACATTAATACTGGTTCTAAAACTGCCATCTTTGTACAAATTTATGTTGCGGGTGCTTAGAGGGAGCCACTGGTAGGTGGTTCAGCTTCTTTTTCCTCCCCCCTGTCGTGTTGTTTCTTTCTTTCTTTCTTTCTAATTTTGCCTTGAGGTAATTGACCATAACTGCCTTGATGTGCGTTTCTTAGCTCAAAAGTAACTTATGTCGTCAGAGCAGGTCTGAAACGAAATGATTTTTCAGATCCCATAGTTATTATTTTTGTTTTGTTTTGTTCTGTTGTATCGCTAAAACACTGATACACTCAGTGTGCGAGAATGTCTCTTGTTTTGTTCTGTTGTATCGCTAAAACACTGATACACTCAGTGTGCGAGAATGTCTTTTGTTTTGTCGATCTCTTCAAACTGGAGGGAGAATAGTTTGGTGTCAAAGAACAAACCCTCCCCTCCCCTCCACTCCACTCCACTCCCCTCCCCTCCCCTCCACTCCACTCCCTTCCCCTCCCTTCCCCTCCCCTCCACTCCCCACAGCACTACTCCCTTGTAAAAAAAGGTTCACTTTGGTTACAAAGAATAAGTCCTCTCCTCCCCTCCATTCCCCTCCCGTCCCCTCCCCTCCCCACAACACTACTCCCTTGTAAAAAAAGGTTGACATTTTCCTCCGGACAGAGAGTGTGACCCAAAAGCTGAGCCGGCCCAGCGTGTTGACCAAGAAAAAGTTCCCACCCACCAAAGGTTTCCCCCAGCCACGCTTCAGCCCGGTCAAGTCGGAAGTGGCCGGCCAGGAACCCAGTACCGGTCAACTCGCCAGGTCAGTCAGAGGACAGAGGGTACAGCTGTAGCGAACGGCGTCTGTGGTGTAGCGGTCAGGTGTTTCGCTGCGGCGTGCAGAAGACCCGAGTTTGATTCCTTAGTGGGGAGAATTTTTATAGAGTATCTCGGTGTTGGGGAGATTTACCACAAAGTTAGACTCAACTTTAATGGTTGGCAGTGCTCTGATGTTACTCTTTAGGAGCAATCTTAGGCACTTGTATGACCTTTTGTGTCGCAGGTGTTGTAAAACTCTTACTAAAACTGAAACTAACACTTCTAATTTTGAGCACTTATATGACCTATCTGTGTTTGCAAAAACTCTTACTAAGGAAGAAATTAAACTGAACGCGATCTGATTGCTTTTGCTGTTTCCTTTTTTTTGTCAGCGAGGTTGCGCCGTCCGTCTCTGAGGAGGAGAGTTCGTCGCAAGCCAGAGGGAAAAGAGCATCCTCCCAAGGCGAGGAGGTACACAGCTGGGCTGTTCGTTATGTCCCCATTTGTTTTGTCTTTCATTCCATGATATCGTCGGTCAGCTGTTCAAATATGTTACGACCAAAATGTTGAAAAAAAAATTTCTTTCATTGCAGTTTCTCAGTCTTTGGTATTGGTTGCATGCACTTGAAATGTTTTGTCAAAATTAACATTCAGAATGTTGAAAAAACTAACCCCAAGAAAATCTACCTAACGCAGGTATAATTAATAGCAGAATGTTTTCCCTGTCCTCGCAAGTGTTGTTTTCCTCGGCTTATAACAGCAAAATTTTGAATTTTATGAAGGCCATTGGCCTTTATGGCAAATTGTAAAGTGAAACTGTACTATTAAAAATTTTTATTTTAACTAGAAAAATTGTTTTAGATTGAAAATATATGTATATTTACACTGATTTTTAAACATTTTAAGATTTAACTACTGAACTGTTGTGAACAAGACCAACTTGTGTTTCGCGCGCTCATATGACCTTACGCAGTTGCGAGCGCCGTAAAACCCTATACTACTAACTAGCTTACAACAGTTGAACAGTTTGCAGACAATATCTTTTGCTTGTTTGTCAGCGTTTGGTCAGATGTTATGATGATATGAGATGGTTTTTTCACTTAATGGCCGTTATGGTGTTGATGTGCTTCTTTGCCTCTACATTTTTGTCTGTTAGGAGACCTGGTCCAATTTGTCTGTTAGGAGACCTGGTCCAATTTGTCTGTTAGGAGACCTGGTCCAATTTGTCTGTTAGGAGACCTGG